AATATAATATTAAATAATATATAAATTTTGATCTGTTTGACTAGCATCAATTCTAAATAAAAATCACACTAATATACACTACGAAGTTGGTTACATCTTCAAATACTTGAGACCCTAATTGGGGGTTTTGGTATCTAGGCCAGAATGAAAGTATTTCTTCAAGTGGCGGATTTAAATTACAAGTAAAAAATAAAAACTCAGAAGCAAATTTTCAGTTATGAAGATTAACTCAATTGATTAATTAATATTATCTTCATTGCACAGCATTAATTATTTGCTGTTACATTACATTGCACTCAAAGGATGAACCATAAATCGCCCCTGCAGTTATACACAGCTTGTTGAATTGTAGCATTTTAAAACAAAACTTATGCATAGTCGAAACGAAATATCAATAACCTCGAATCCATAAGACTAGAGATTCTCAAGAGATTCTTGAAAGCGGCTGCTGAACGATTACAATAGAAATTGCAAGCTTGATTCAATGTCATGCTTTACATAAGTACAGTCTGGCCACAAGTAACTTGCACCTTTCCAAGCTTTTCTTTATCTTTTTACAAATGAAACCTTTTTTAGAGCTCAGTTTCACAACCATTCTCTCTTTCCGGTGCTTATTAAGAAACTTATTCCAGAGCCAACTGTTCCACAAAACAGGGTACCCTTACATTTACATAAATTATGTCTCTCCATTTATATCAATTTGCCAACAGAAAGCTACACATTTTGCATATTCCTTGTCGAATAACCTGAGATTGTAGTTTGAATCCTTCAACTCTGAAAGCCCTTTGCCTCCTTTTGACCGATTAACAAATGAGCTGATGTGGGTAAAGGAACAACCAAGGCTCTGTCTTCATTGGCTTGTTCTGGTAATCTGGTCAAACCAGATTACAGCTTTCATTCCACAACACTTGCCACTTGATTAGGCAGATTTCTCGTTCCTAGTTTCCCAAAAAGGTTTAGAAGGAAACCAATTAAAATTCATCTTGAATATCTTGCCTATTATTTGTATTTGCTATAACATTCACATAGATCCCCCTTCCACTCAACCCCAGAAAACAAAATCATAAAACATATAACAATAAGAAATCAACACAACTATACATGTACACCAGAACTACATTAAGAATATCAGATAACTATCAAAAACTTAAATCTCAAAAAATAATAGACTTCATACTTTGATACTCAGAGAGAAGTTCATTAAAAAATAGAAAAGAACTCTATCAGCAAACATTCTCTTAAAAATGTCAAAAGGAAAAAGCTTATTTTCATATTATTATCTCAAGCCCTCAATATATACCCTCCATAAATAACAGAGTTGACTTAATTTATGAATTCTCTCACAAGAATGACCGTCCAGCTCCCTTTTATAATCCATCATCACACCACAGATTAGGCAATAGATCAACGGTCTAGAGCAGCACACTTGGCAAATCCTTTTGGGCCGGGTTTTGGG